CGCACACTCGATCCGACAGAAGGGAAAAAAAATTTTAATATTTAAACATTTTCAAGTTTGTCTTTGTTTTCCTTTTTTCCTTTTTTTTCCTTTTTTTTCCTTTTTTTTACTTTCTTTTCTTTGAATTTAAAAAAAAAATAAATATGTGTGTGTGTGTGTGTGTGTATTTCAATCTGGTTATTTGCGCACGAACGGTTGACAAAATTTCATTCCGGTTGTTTTATTTATTTTTAATCAAACGTCAACAACAACAAACAACAAGTGAATAAAAAAAAAAAATCTAATTTCGGTGACGCCTTATTATTTTACGAGTGACAAAATTTTCTAGAAGTCGAAAGAACAAAAAAAAAGTAAAAATAAAGAGTCTTGCAAATTCCAATTGATTCGTCATCGCGCGGATTTTTTTTTTTTTTGTTTGTTTGTTGCTTATTACGTTTTCAATTGTTTTTTAAATATATTTTTTCCCTCCCCTCCCCTCCGTCTCTTTCTACCTACTTACCTACCACCTACCCACCTTTTTTCCCTCCAAAAAAAAATTCTTTTTTTTTCTCCTTTTCTCTTTATCTATTTTTTATTTTTTTTATTTTTTTTCGAACAAGAATCTATATTTAATAAAGTAGGAAAAGGAAAAAGAGAGAGAGAGAGAGAGTGAGTGACTAAAAAAGAGAGAGTCGTTGGGATTAAGGAGAGAGATAGAGAAGGGAAGTGAAAAGAAAAAGGAAATGAGAGCAGACGAAAAAGTAGGAGAAAGGAAGAGAGAGAGAGAGAGAGGAAATTTTTGTACTGCTGCAGTCGCTTACAAAATTTCGAACGCAGCGTTTGCTTTGCTTTCGGGAAAAAAAAGAAAAAATTTTTTGCTTTTGTTTAAAAAAAAAAAAAAAATTATTGTTAATTGTTATTGTTCTTTTCGTTTGTTTATTTATTTATTCGTTTGTTTGTTTGTTCGTTCGTTTGTTTGTTTTTGTACGGAAAATGGTTTTTTTTTTTTCGAATTGAATTGGAAATTAAAGTTAACGTGTAAAGTGTTCGAGTGTTGTATTTCCGGTAAACACTCGCGTTTAATTAAAAAAAAAAAAATTTTCTTTTTTTGTTTCTGTTTCCGTTTCCGGTTTTTTTCCCCCACTTTTCTTTTCTTTTTACTTTCTTTCTTTCCTATCGGTTATTTCGAAACTACTTTAAAATGTGAAGGGAGAGAGAGAGGGAGGAGGGAAAGGTCAGATGTCATCCGTCAGTTCAATTTAAAAAAAAAAAAAATTTTTTTTAATATGAATTAATACGAGTTAAAAAGAAAGGTTTTCTTGTAAATCCTACGGGAAATCACGGGGAAAATTTTATATAAAAAAAAAAAAAAAACGAAAAACAGGGAAATAGGAGAACATTGAATTGAGTCTTCTCGAATTCCTCCTCCTCCTCCTGTTCCTCCTTTGTAAATTTTTAACTTGGTTAAATATTAATGTCGGTTAAAGTGGAAAATTCCAAAAGAATAAACCTTTATTATTATTATTATAATCGTGAAATTTATTACCGTTGCTGTCTTTATTATTATTATTATTATTATTATTATCATTATCATCATCATCATTATTATTTATTTTAAATATGTGAAACCGAATGTCAAAATTTGATGATGAAGGGATAAACGAAAAAGAGAGATTTGTATGAATGTAATTCGCGCGGATTCGATCACCGATTAAAAATTTTTTTGATTTGTGACGTCATCGTAGGTATTTACCACCCCCACCCCAAACCCCTCCCCGTTCGTTTGTAACGTTCGACTTTTGGATTTCAACCAAATTTTTTTTTTTTTTTTTTTATTGTCCCTTAAATTTTATTATTATTGTTATTGATGATTTAAAATTTGGTAATTTTTTTTGTCACATTTTCTTATTCCCCGATTTTTGTCGTGGTTTTAAATTCCATTGCAAACCCTCCCTTCCCCCTATTCCCCCACAATAATCGGAATATAAAAAATCCGTCTGCTTTTTTCTTTTTTTTTTTTTATTTGTCAACATCTGGCGATTTAAATTTTTTTTTTTTTTTTTAAATTTTATTTCCCGCCATCGTCTGCCGTCGTGTGAGTTTTAAAATTATTATTATTATTATTATTGCCTTGTATTCCTTTTGTTTTTTAAATATTTGTTTCTAAAAAAAAAAAAAAAAATGGGGGGGAGGGGAGTGGAAAACGTCAGATGATTCGTTTCAAATAGTTCGAACGAACAAATTTTATTACGTAGCGCGAATTTATGAGTGGAAAATTCTCAAAAGTGAAAATTTTGTTGTTTTCCACATCGCTAGGGAATTCAGGCATAAAAATACCGTTTTCTCTCTATCTCTTTGTCTCTCTCTATTTCTCTTTCTCTCTCTTTTTAATTTTTTTTATTTTTACATCGAGTAAATAACAAAAAAAAAAAAAAAAAAAAATTAAAAAAATGGCCGAAATGTGATTTAATACGAGTAATGAAAAGGTTTGGCGAAAATAAAATAAAAATTATTATTTTTCTCGTTGTTTGTCGTTTGTTGTTTGTCGCGTATTCAAAAATTCGATCAATCGAAACGATTTTTTTTTTTCTGTCGTAACGTTTTTAAGAAAACCTTTTTTTTCCGAGTTTAAAATGAATTTAAAGCCTTTACGTGAAACCTTTTTTACATTTTTTATTTTTTTGTTCGTACAAAAAACAAAAGATGAAAGGAAAATTATTGAATGGAAAATGATTTCAAGTGCAGTGGCGGATTAAGTACAAAGAACCAAAAAAAGAAGAAGGTTTTTTGTTTAAATGATGACGTGATTGACATAAAAAATTGAAGAAAAAAGAAAATTTTTTTTCGGAAAATTATCGAATTTGTGAGCCGAGGGGATCTCAACTCAGGTCGACGTTTTTTTGATTTAAAATTTCCCGTAAAAATTTTTTTTTGTCAAAAATTCCGTGTGAATTATTATTATTATTATTATTATTATTATTATTATTATTATTATTATTATTAATGTCACTTGCGTTGTTTTATTTAAAAAAAATAATAATAATAATAATAGGAAGGAAGGAAGAAAAATTGCCGGAAGTAGTGAAAATTTTTTATTCGAATCCTGTAAATTTTGAGTTTTTTTTTAAGAAAGAGAGAGAGGGGAGAAGGGGATAACGAAGAAAAATGACTTTTATTTTCTTCTAAATGAATGAGAGAGGAAGGGGAGAGAGGGGGAAATGGAACGTTTAGAAGGGATTAAACGAGTACACAACGTCAAAAGGGTTTTATTATAAACGCGAAATCTCGGGCATAATTTAATTTAATTTTTTTTTTTTTTTTAATTAATTTTTTTGTTACTTTTTGCAAAACCGTGAAAACAGCAGAAAAGTCGTTTTGTTTTTCGCGCGCGCGCACTTCACCACCTCATTATCTCACATTTCTATTTGTCTACATTTGTAAAAATACAGGGGGGAGAAAGAGAGAGTGAGAGAGAGAGAGAGAAAGGGAAAATTTTCGGAAAAATTATGAAAACTGTTGCAGCACGAGTAAATGAAATTTTTTTTTCCTTTTTTTTTTAAATCCTCCTTCCTCCCCCCTCCTTTCCTCTTCCCTCCCCTCCTCCCTTTGTAACACTTTGTTCGTTACGCTCTGTATTATTATTTATTTTATTTTTTTTTCCCGTTTGTTTGTTTGTTTGTGTTGTCGGTCGGTTTTTTGTTTGTCTTTCGACTTAATTTTCCGTTGAAATCGACGTTTTTTTCCCTTCCCCTCCTCTTCTCCTCCCCACGACGTTAATTATTTATTTTTGTTTCCTATTTTGAAATTTCACACTTAATTATGTTTGGGTTTAACGAAATTGTTTCGCGTTTTTTTTTCCCCCTTCCTATTAATATTGATTTGACACATCGCGTCACGGTCGATTATTATTATTATTATCATTATTATTATTTTATATTTAACAAAAGTCGAACGAAAGTTTGAATCACTCAAAAATTCAATAATAAAAAAAAAAAAAAAAAAAAAAAAAAGGAGAGAGAAAAACGAACGTCAAATTTCAAAGAATTTATAATTCGAGTGTTTGTTTGTTTGAAAATTAAATTCAAACATTTAAAAATTCGGTGTCAATTGGGGGGATGGTAGGAGGGAGGTAGGGAGGAGGAGGAGACTCAGGGGAAAAATTAAATGGCGGATCGTTTCTTTTTTTTTTTCTCCTTCTTGTTTTGAGTGAGTCTGGACGAGAAGGATGATTGACTGACTTGTTATCAATTCATTAAAAGATTTTAATTTTGGTCCGTGATAACACCCCCTCCCTCCCTTCCCTCTCCCTCAGGAATTTTTAATTTTCATTTTTCTCACAGTTTTCCATGGTCGACAAGTGTTGAAAAAAGTAGTTTTGAAATTATGTGGTTTTTGTCGATTCGAGAGTTGAATTCTTTTTTTTTTTAAAGAAAAAAAAAATAATTGTTTGGGTCCGTTCGCAAAAAAGAAAATTACACGGGAAAAAAAGGGAAAGAAAGAAAGAAAGAAAAAAAAAGGAAAAGAAGGAAAAGAAAAACCAAAACAAAATATTTGAATGATGAAGTCGTTTATTTTGAAAACAAATTGACCGTTTGACGTGTTTGAAATAGAGAGAGAGAGAGAAAAAGAAAAAAAATTTATTTTTAACTTTCGAAACCGTTAAAAAGAAAAAAAGAAATTTTGCGTGTGTGTGCGCGTGCGCGTTTGCGTAATTTCAATTTAATTTATTATTATTATTTATTTTTTATTCGAACGATTTAATTTTCCCGCCAGTTTTTTTTTTTTTTTTTATTTGCGAGAGCGACGAAAGGATTGAAAAAAATATAATTATCATCATTATTATTATTGTTGTTGTTGTTGATGTGATGACGTGATCATTCTCTATGATTTGAAATCATAGAGTAATAAAATGTTATTATACCGACGAGTGATGAACGGGGCGAATTATCTCGTGAAGAAAAAAGAAAATTTTTTCGCGACGATTTTCGTGAAGGAAAAATCGTAAGCGGGAAATGAATGAAATGGAGAAAAATTACCGGAAATCGTCGGATGAAAATTCACGGGATGGGTCGGAAAATGAAATTTCTGTCCGTCACATAATTTTCCTCAATCGTTCTTCGTCTTCGAAATTCAAATCGAAAAAAAAAATTAATTTATCAGGTGAGACGCGGATATGGAAAATTGGTGACGCGTGACGTCATTCATTCGTATGGGAATGACAAAAAAAAAATTTCCCGAATTATTATCATTATTATTATTACCATTGTTTGCTTTCGTGCAGAAAAAAAAAAAAAAAAAACTTTTTATCCTCACGAAATATTTTATTTATTTACTTTTACTAAAAATAACGGATTACGTTGGTAGTTATTAAAATCGCGTGGCGCTAATAACCTGAGTAATTTTTGTTTGCAAGTTGGCGACGCTGAATTTCCAAAAAAAAAAAAAAAAAACAAGAAATAAACTTTGAACACCTGTTTATAATCTCATAACTTTATTTATTAATTAATAAATAAATAAATGAGAAAAATGCACACGTAAGGTAAACAACACATACAAAAAGTGAAAAGTTGTTTCGCGAGCGGTTATTTATTTTTCAAAATTTTCCCGCCAAAAATTTTTCCGTTATTTATTTATTTTCCCCGAAAATAAATAAAGGATAAACGCGTTTTAAATTCTTTCCTTATTTTTTTTTTTTTTTTGGAAAATTTTTGTTCGTGTTATAATACAAAAGAAAAATGGCGGCGACGGGTTAAAGAAAAGTAGGGGAAAAGGGGAAACGGAAAAGGGTTTTTCGCAAATAATAATAATGATGATACTAATTTAGTTTTTGGAAATTAACGTTCATTAGATTCATTTATTAATAATAATTTTGGTTAAAATAAAACTTATTGTTTAAATAATTACGTTACCGCACATACGAAATCTAACAAAATTTTATTTTATGTTAACGATGACGACGTTAATAATAATAATAATAATAATAATAATAATAATAATAATAATAATAATAATAATAATAATTTAAATAATTGATTGAGTTTAAAATTTGTTTTTGCGAAATTGAAAGTCTTTTTTTTTTTTTTTTTTTTTTTTGGAAAAGGGGGGGGGGCTGATGAGGGAGATCGTCGTTGTCGTCGTCGTTTGTTGCATAATAAATAATTTTTTTAGAAAGGTATTTTTTTTTTTTTTTTTAATTATTTAATTGAACTTGTTTTCGATTCGTTTCAATATTATATAAAAGGTCAACCGGTTCAAAACTAATTTTACCTCTTTTTTTTTTCAAGGTACGTACCTGTATAACCATAATTTTTTTTGTTGTTTTTGGAATTTACATTGAATTTTTTGATGAAAGAAAAAAATTAATAAATAATGATAATAATAATTTATTTGCATGCGTTTATGAGTTTATTATTATTATTATTATTATTGCTGTTGTTGCATTGCTTGTGACCGAGTTATAAAAATTTTTCACGTTTTTTTTTTTGCGCGCCGAAAGAAAATTTATTTATGGCGATTTTTAATTTTTCTTGTTTTTTTTTTTTTTTTTTTTTTTAATAATGAGCTTATCGTGTTTGATTGCGGCTAATATGTGCTATATTGTTTTATTATTATTGTTATTATTTATATAATTGCAGAGCCGAAAAAGGATAAGACTGATCAGGCAAATGGATCCGTGTCGATAAATCCGGACGAGGGAGGAGGACAAGATCAGGTGCCTTCAGTAACGGAAGCTCAACCTAAACCGGAGCGTCCGTCCTCGTTGGGACCGGGAAAGCTCACGAGAAGACTGCTTTGTTATCACAACGATCATTGCATGTCGCATAATTCACCGACGAAAGGAACGTCGTCATCTCCCACTTCTCCGGGTGCGAACCCGATTCACGAAGAAGGAGGAGGAGGAGGAGGAGGAGATACAAATCAAGCGGGTAGATGAAGAAAAATTATTATTATTATTATTAATTTAAAGTTTTCATGTTTTCCAAGGTTTTCATTTTTTTTTTTTTCATTTTTTTCTAGATGCTCCACCGAAAATAGCGTTTCAAAATTTAACAGGTAGAGGAACTCCTCCACCGGATAGAACTAACACTTCTAATGCTTTAACTTTGTCAGAGTTACCGGAGCCTCCGATACCTGTTTCAGAAATTGGTCCAATTCCTCCGCCTCCAATGTTTAGTTCTCCGAGTCCGACATTGTTATTGCGACAAGACACCGGAATTCATAATGTCGTGTCACTAGATTTGCCGGATTATAGCTACGAAGGTGAGGTTATACATATATTATTAATTTTATGATAATGACGAGCATCGTGACGTTGACTTTTCTCTTTTTTCCCCCCAAAATTTGAAAATAATTCCGTCGAAGGCCATTACGCGAACAATAAAATTATAATGATGATAATGTTTAATAACTTATTATTATTATTATCATCATTGTTATTTTGTTAATTAATGAATAAAATTCTAAAGGATTAAGTCGTTTGTTTGTTTGTTTGTTTGTTATTGCTTCGTTTACTAAGGCCTTAAATTAAAAAAAATTTATTCGTTTGAATTGATTTTTTCATAATGTTTAACGTACTGGAAAGTCATTTTCCAAAAAAAAAAAAAATTCTCGTCTTTTTTTTTTTGTTTAAAAAATAACGAGGGGGGTAAGGGTGGGGGTAAAGAGGAGGGAGGTCGCTTTTTATCCAGTCAAGAGTCACACAATTGAAAACGCCAACGCAAAACCCTCTCTAAACATTTTCCGAACACAAAAGTTCAAACCGAACCAAATAACAAACGTTTTCTCGATTTAAGGAAACAAACAACAACCACAACCACCGATCGTTTGTTTGTATTTTTTTTTTTTTTTTGCATTTCGATTGTCAATAAAATCTTTTCTCGGAAGTTTTTTTTTTTTTTTTTTATTTCGGATCGACGTAATAAAATGCGGTTGTTGTTGTTATTGTTGTTTGTTGTTTGTTTTTTTTTTTTTTTTTAATAGTCGGGATGACGGTTGCGATGATGATCGCATAATAATAATTAAAATCATTTATTTATTTATGGCATTGAAAATTGTTGTTGTTTAAGGACCTGATGACGTCGAAACGGATCCCGACGATCTCGAATCGGAGGACGTTGACAATATGGTATTTAGATTTCCTCAACCGGATCCGAATATTGACACGTCGAGGGTTGAAGAAATCCCGGCAAAAGAACCCAAATTTCACGCCATGCCCTTAAAATCAGCATTGAAAAAAAAGGGAAACTCAGGAGGCGGAGGTTCGGGTCAAGTTACGTCATCACAAGGTACTCCTACCCAGGAAAATCGTCCGTTACAAATTCGGCAAGAACATTATATCTCGTTTAAGTAAGTTTTTTTCTCTCTCTCTCTCTCTCTCTCTCTCTCTCTCTCTGTTTTTCCCCACTATGATGATCATCTGATGATACGTGGCAAAAAAAAAGAAAAAAAAAACGTCGTGTCAGAAGTTATTTATTTATTGATGTTTTTTTTTTTTGCTTTTGGTAATTTTCCACGTTTCACGATTTTTTCATCTTTTTCTTCTTCTTCTACGTTTAATTGAATTTAAAAACAAAAAAAAAAAATTTGTTTTGTTTTTTTTTTTATGTGTGATCCATTTTTATTTTTATGCAAACTAAAGAAGACCATCTTTCAGATCTAGGATAAAAATAAGGTAAAAAAAAAAAAACAAAAAAAATGATAATAATAATAAAAAAAAAGAAAATGAGTGTCGCACTAGTGTCAATAATTTTTTTTTTAACACGTCGCCGTAGTTTGTTGTTGTTGCTGTTAAATTTTTATTATTATTATTATTATTATTACTATCATTATTATTATTATTTTTACTCGTTCGAATACGGGACATCAAATCCTTTTTCTAACGCACGTCTTAATTTCATTTAAAAAAATTTTAAGGGACGAGTTTTTTTTTTTTTTTTTTTTCTGTTGGCCACCTGTGTGGTGGTGTGTCCTCTTAATATTCCTGCACTTCATCATTATCATTATCATTGTGAATGGATGTACGTGCGTGCGTGCGTTCGTGCGTGCGTCATTCCGTTCGGTTTTCTTTTTTTTTTTTCTATTGTTTTTTTTTTGTCCAGCAGCCGGCCCGTTAAATTTGGTATACCTCTTCCGTGCACCGTCGAAAACAAAGAAAATGCGAGACCCTTCATAATAAGAGAAGATTCCGACGGGGATTCCGGTGACGGACCCATTTTGTACAGAGACGAAGAAGAAAACGAAGAAAGTGAGTTTGAAATTTCAACAATTTTCCTTTTTTTTTTTTTCTCGGTCCTCCGACGAATGAATTCGTTGAAGAAAAGGAAAACGATTGACGACGGCCGGGAGAATCGTGTTAAGGGGTTGTTCGGGGGGCGGGGTGGGGGTGAATGGAATAAGAGAGAGAAAGCCTGGGAAGAAAAGGAAACCGTTGAAATTAAATTAAAATTAAATTAATCGATCGTTATTGAATAGTGAGGGGTGGGGGTGGGGGTGTTGGTGGTTGTTCGAGTGAAAGATTTAATTTAAATTTAAATTTGAATTCAAATATTTTTTTTTTTTTTCATTCTTCTTCCTGTTCATTCAATTGTAATAGTAGTTAAAGTAGTTGTAGTATAATTAGTAGTAATTGAACGATCGAGAAATCGGAAAGGGGAGGGGTGGGAGGGGAATGAAAACGATTAAATTTTTTTTGTTTAACCTGTCGAATCCAACAGGAATTACGCTGTCGTCGTCGTCGTCGTTTGTCGCAAAATTAAAAATGTCCCCCGTTGAAATTTGCTGCAAATAAAATTATTATTATTATTATTATCATTAAAATATTTTGTTATTTAATTTGCAGGTCGACTGGCGGCGAAAATAGCAAGGAAAGATAGTTTAGCTTTAAAATTAGCCCTACGTCCCGACCGTCAAGAATTGATCGATCGAAACATATTACAAGTTCAATCGGAAAAGGAAAGGTTGGAAAGTAAGGAGGCCGTTGGTGCGAGGCTCATAAGGCGTTTGAGCATGAGGCCGACGGCGGAAGAACTCGTCGATAGAAACATATTAAAAACTCAAACCCCTGCCGAAGAGAAAAAATCTAAAGAAGAAAAGAAAAAAATGCTTTTGAGAAAACTCAGTTTCAGGCCGACGGTGGAAGAGCTCAAAGAGAAAAAGGTTAGAGAGGGGAAGGAGAGGGAGGGATAAAAATCTCGATTTGGTCGCGGATTAACATTAAATGTATGATGATGATGATTTGTTTGTTTGTTTGTTTGTTTGTTGTTTCGAACAGATAATTAGATTTAACGATTATATCGAAGTGACTCAAGCTCACGAATACGATAGAAGGGCAGACAAACCGTGGACGAGACTCACGCCCAAAGATAAGGCAGCCATAAGAAAAGAATTGAACGAATTTAAAAGTTCGGAAATGGAAGTTCACGAAAGCAGCAGACATTTGACCAGGTTCGACGGAATTCGATTATAAACGATGTATCGATCGATCGATCGATCGATTTATCGATGACTAATACCTAACGGTTTTTTTAAAAGGTTTCACAGGCCCTGACAGTTTCAATGGAAAGGTCGGATGGATGATGATGTATCGTGTGTTACGCGAGAGAGTCGATATTGGAGGCCACGTCCGAGAGGAAAAATCCGTGGAAACGGTTGATGAAGAAAATCATTAAGAGGCCGATGAAGGAAAAAAGCGATGATATGTATGGTCTTTCTCTCTTTGTGATCTCTTTTATTAATAATAATAATAATAATAATAATAATATAAAAATGACGTCGTCGGCGGCGACGGTGACGACGATAACCACAACAACCACAACAACAGCAACAGGAATCGGATAATGAAACAATTGTTTATGGAAGGAGAAAAAAAGTCAACAAAAACAACATTAACGAGGAGACGGTAAAAAAAAAGTAATCAAAAAAAAAATATATATATAAATTTGTATATATCGATTATCGATTCATTATTACCAATCTTGGAAAAAAAAAAAAAAAAAAATTAATCGAACTCGAAACGAATATATAAAAATTCTATTGACACGGCGAATAAATTATTTAAAAAAAAAAAAAATTTTATTGTTAATAAAAATTAATCAAATTACGGTTGTTCGTTACTTTTTTAATTTTTTTTAATTTTTTTTTTTTTTTTTAATTTTTTTCGTTTATAAATCAAATATGGCAGATTTTGTTTTGTTTTTGTTTTTTTTATATAAGTTATTTGTTGTTTAAATCTTTTTATTATTATTATTATTATTATTATTATTATTATTATTATTATTTTAATTTTTATTCGTCAGTTAATTATATCTTGCCGTCGGGTTTTTATTTATTTATTTATTTTTTTTATTTACTTATTATTATTATTATTATTATTATTATTATTATTATTATTAATTATTGGTATCGTTTTATTATTTCGAACGTTTGCTTGTTTGTTTGTTTGTTTTTGTTCGTTTTAAAATTTTAATACTTTATTGGGAGGAGGGGGGGGGGAAATTGATTGACGTGAGTTTTTTTTTTTTTTTCTGTTCGAATTCTTCGTCTATTTCCACGTTTAAAAAAAAAAATCAAATTTATTATTATTATTTCAAGTCCGTTATCGTTATTATGACGTAGTAAATTTTTATCACGAATCGATTATCGATAATTAAAAAATGATAAAAACAAAATTAATAAACGAAATAAATAAACAAAATAAATAAATTAATAAATAGATCAATTTAATGATGTGTTATTATTATTATTATTATTATTATTATTATTATTATTATTATTATTATTATTATTATTATTATTATTATTATTATTATTATTATTATTATTATTAATCAATTTTCCGTTAACGACAAAAAAAAAAAAACGCGAGATTTAACGTATTTTATTTTTTTTTAATTTTTTTTTTTTTGTCATTATTATTATTATTATTATTATTATTATTATTATTATTATTAATTTTTTTTTTTTAAATATTTTAATCGTCTCGTTCGTTATACGACCGGTTTTTATTATTATTATTATTATTACGAGAGAAAAAAATTGAAATTTTACGCGCGCATGCACACGAGTACGCGTGTGATAGAAAAGAAATTCGGGAATGAAAGGAAATGACGTCACCAATGAGCTCTTTACAATTTTTCTATTTGTGATGATGATGATGATGATGATGATGCGTGCGTTAACGCGGGCGTAAATCGTCACTCCCCGTTAAGTAATTTTCCACCGTTGTAATAATAATAATAATAATAATAATAATGATAATGATGATGATAATGATAATATTGATAATTAAACAAACGAAATAAAAGGAAAAAAGTATTCGTGTATATTACATACATATATATATATATAAATATAAATAGGAAAAAATTATTTAGAAAAATAATAATAATAATAATAATATGAATATTTTTATTTCTTACCTGATGCGATTAATTAATTAATTAATTAATAAAAAGTATACGTGAAAAGTAAATAAATAAATAAATAATAATAATAATTTATATGCTCTTATGTACATAAAATAAATTTATACAATGATTCACGACGATTCATTTATTTTTATTTTTTTTTATTTTTAAATTTTTTTATGTAATAAAATAATAATAATAATAATAATAATAATAATAATAATAATAATAATAATAATCAGGATGCGTGGGAAGTGAAGAGAAAAACGAGAAAAATTTGAAGATTTTTCAAGAAGAAACCGTTAAAGAAAATGGCGTCGGACGGAATGACGTAATGACATTCTTAATTATCATTGTTATTTGATAAGTTTTTATCCCAAAGGAATGAGATGGAATCCTGGGAAAGGAATGAAGGATAAATTTCAATTGGAACGTGAAATTCGATCGTGTTTCGAAAGTGATAATAATAATAATAATAACGGATTTAACGTAATTTTTTCCTTTCATAAAAAAAAAAAAAAGAAAATTAATTAGGCGCCATTTTTTAAATTTTTTATTCCGTTAAAAATATTCGAATGGTTTTTTTTTTCCCGCTAAATTTTTAATTTCGAAAAGGGAAAATTTTTTACGCGGTGAAATTTAAGAAATTTTCTTTTATAAGAATTTAATTTGTTTTTAATTTCCTTTAATAATAATAATAATTAATGGAAAATAAATAAACTCTTAACATCAATCATTTAAATTTAACTTCAACTAATAACTTAAAGTTAATAAGATTTTGTTTAATTTCGATATACTCGAGAAAGATTTAAGAAAATTTTAATAATTAAAAGGAAAAATACTTTTTTTTTTAAGTTTATTAATAACGCGCGTTAAAAATTTATAATGATTTGGAGAATTCCTGGAGAAAGTGCTTTTGAGAATTCTACGGAAAATGCTAGAGAAACCTGAAAAAATTGCTGAGAATTCTGGATAAAACGTTGGAGAATTCCTGGAGAAAATTCTGGAAAATTCTGGAGGACTCTGGAAAAAATGCTGAAAAATTTTTGAGAAGTTTGGAGAAAATGCTGGAGAACTCTGGAGAAAATGTTAAAGAAATTCTGGGAAATTCTGAAAAAATGCTAGAGAACTCTGGAAAATTCTGAAGAAAATGTTAGGGAAAATGCTGGAGAACTCTGGAGAAAATGTTAAAGAAATTCTGAGAAATTCTGAAAAAATGCTAGAGAACTCTGGAAAATTCTGAAGAAAATGTTAGGGAAAATGCTGGAGAACTCTGGAGAAAATGTTAAAGAAATTCTGGGAAATTCTGAAAAAATGCTAGAGAACTCTGGAAAATTCTGAAGAAAATGTTAGGGAAAATGCTGGAGAACTCTGGAGAAAATGTTGAAGAAATTCTGGAAAATTTTGAAAAAATCCTGGAGAAAATGCTAAAGAATTTGACATTATAATAACAATATTCATCCATTCGAACATCACTGATATTAAGAAACATTTATTCCTGACGGATGCGGATAAAGATCTGGAATAAAATTGGCTGGAATAAAATTCCTAACGACATCACCGTGATTAAAAAAAAAATAATAATAATAATAATAATAATAATAATGAAAAAAGCACGTAAAATGAATTAAAAGAGTCTCGAAAATTTCTTTCATATTCAGGTAAGTTTTTTTTTTTTTAATTAATTTTTCATTGATTGATTGACTATCATTACAAAATCAATTTCCGGCGGTAAAATATAAAACTTTTCCATTGTTTAAATTTGCCGCCATTTAAATTTCAAATAACGATCACTTTAAAAACGAAAACTAAAAAAAGGATGAGTCTCAAACAAAAAAAAAACAAAAAAAAACTTTTAATCATTTATTTGTTTACTCTCATGAGTTATTTTAAATAAAACGATGTATATATACGATCCACGTCATAACCGCTTTTTATCTAATTATTCATAAAAAAAATAATAATAATAATAATAATAATAATAATTAAACAACCGTTGACTAGTCTACGAATGAAACGTCGAGAGGAACGAAACGTTCCGATTCAGGTTGAGGATTCGTCTCGTTGCTTCGCCTTCCCATCGAATACCATTCGACGAAAGCTTTCACCAGTATAAGAAATACGAATAAAAGAAAAACGAAAAAATAAAATGGTATAATCGGATAACCGTAGAAATAAGCCAAAACTCCAGACAATGATATGTAACTTAATGTTTGATAACTCGCCAATGCTCTAAGGCAAACTCTCGCCGGAAGTTCGTCACAAACTCTCGGAGCAAAATTTCCAGGTATGCTTTTATCAAAATAATAATATTTACAAGGCGGAGCGAGTAATTGTCTGGCCACGCAACCTATAAAATTTTGACTTTCCCACATTTTAATCAATTCGTTTTTGTACTGAAAAAAAAAAAAAAAAAAAATTAAATCAAAAATCGAAACGTGTCAGTAGAAAAGATGAAAAAAGACAAAAAACTAACCTTTTCATTTATTCTCATGCTCAAATGATGGAAAAATCTTAGTAAAAACGTCACTTCCGTTGATCTTATGGGTTCCAAATCGGGATTCGATTCGTAACGTATAAATTTTGTTCTTTTTTGCCAGTCTTTTGGATTTATTATCGTAGGTTCGACGATTCTCATTTGTTGCGAACACGATGAATTTATCGAAGAACCCGATAAATCCGCTTTGCTCCGATTGTTGACCGGAAATTGAAGCGGCGGCAAATCGAATACCTGAGTTAAAAACGTTATCGAATGTTCTAGATAAGAAACGGTTTTTTGCCTTTCGTCGACCGTGTAATCATCACCGAAAGGACACTGAAATAAAAAATCTTGTATTCTCAACAATATGTTTTTCCTTCTCAGTTGTCTTTGAGCCAGTGCCGAATTCAGTAAATAATTGACCAAATTCAACGATTGCTGTATCGACAATACGAATTCGTGAACCTGATCCTGAAATTCTTTTCCGAAAAGAGTTTTGTATTGAAAATTTGACGATTCCAATTCTTGTATTTCTTGTCTTATAATGACGTTCAACCGATTGAAAAGCGGAAATGACACGGAATTCGAATGATTCGGTGACGTGGGAGGAGAATTCGGAGACATGCACGGGGATTTTGGTGTTCCCACCAGAGGACTTCCGACGGAAGTGTCCGCCGAATGATCCATTCCCGTTGTCGTAAAATCATCGAAATGTTTTTCAATATCTCTGAGTATGGGTGCCAAATCGGGTTGGGATAAAACTTTGGATAATCTGAACAACATGTGAGCGTGTTTGGGACACGTGAGATCCATTCTTGAAAATCTCGGGATTATTTCTCTCATTATGATTGTGTATGCGGGAAAACTTTCGACTATGAAATTATACCATCTGTGGTCGATGGCGTTCGATTCTCCGGTTGCGCTATATTTGAACAAACAACAACAAGAAATTAATATCATCACAATTGAAAATTTTTAAATTTAACGGTCGTTTTTTACTTCTTCACCTCACCTGGCATTGTATTTAACGTAACGCCAAGGTTGTATAAAACTAAGATAAGTTTCCAAAATTAAAATGAAAGAAGAATCGAGGGGCCAATGATTTATGTGCCTCCTTAAAAATGTATACAAAGGCCTCCGACATAAACTTGTTATCGTTCTTCTAAGTTCATCCATGGCACTTCCATCATTATGAACGTTATTGACAAAATAATGAATGTGTTTTATCATGTTTCTGACGACACGCAGATGATCTTCCTTTGGTAAAATGTCACCGAAGGTTTTGATATCCTGCAGGTGAGTAATAAAAAACATTTCGTTACATATCAATGATCGTTTTTGAGTAATAAATCTTTTTTCTTTTTTTTTTTTTTAACGATAGTGACAAACAAAAGAAAAAACAGAAAACAGTGTAATAAAAATTATTATTAAAAAGCAATTATTTAAATGCAGTCTAAGTAAATAAAAAAAAAATCAAGTTTTTTAAAAATGTTTTTTTAAGTTGTGAAGTGATTTAGTGTTGGTGTTGATGTTTGTGCTTGTTGTTGTTGTTGTTCTTCTGTACGCAGGTAAGTAAACATGTTTTTTATCTTTTTAAAATTAGTTTATAAACATTTCGTTAACAGTAGTAAAAAAAAAATTAAATTTATGCTAATCTAATTAAAGCTATTAATCATAATTAATGTCGTTATTAAAATTTTAATCGTGTGAATACAAAAACAAACAAAACAAAACAAAATTTCCACAATAAGCGAGTTTATGTTGTTGATTTTAACTAAATTTACAAAAAAAAAAAAATGGCCAAAACGTCGTCGAATAAAACTTACAGGTTGGTAATAAGGCATCAAGGGATAATAGGAATAATGTCCAAATCCTATAGGATACCTGCACATTTTCTGTGGAAAAAAAATTAATTTTCCTTTTTCATGTAATATTTTAAAATCTGTTTCCGATATCATTTCATAACTATCTACATATTTTAGTTGTTTCGATGAGAATATTTCGATTGTTTTTTTAATAATGAAAGTAATATTTACCTCAGTTTTTAATTTAACAAAAGGATTAGAACTCATTTGATCAGGAACTGTGAGCCAGAAATTTATAATTATTTGTAAAAAAGCTTCACTTCTCCAAATTTCTGCATTAGATTGAGTTACTGTAGTCGGAGACAAACTAGTCGATCCAATTTTAACAACAGAATTTTTGAATAACTTTGATGTTTTAGGCGGTTGAACCTTTAAGCAAAATATTTTCAGTTTGAGTAAATTTTTTTTAACAATGATTAAATTGTATCGTGACAAAAAAAAATACTTTTTTCAAAATAACTGGCAAGATTTATTCAATTTTACCTGAGATGGAGGAGGTGATCTTGGTAACTGTATTGTCTGATGCACAGGCACTATCGGAAGTACAACTGATGTTTCAATAGGCAAAAAATGCTGCAAGTATTGGTCACTTAAATGTAGGTAAACAGTCTCATGGTCTTCAATTATATCAGGATCACATAATGGCTGCCAAGAATGAATTAAATGATAAGTAAAATGAAATAAATAAAATTCAAATGCATCTGAAATAATATTAATTAAATCATATCTATAACTGCAATAATGAATATTTTATAATGATATCAAGTTTATTGACATACTCAATAATAATCCTGTGGGTTCTCTTAAATTTGGATCAATGTGTAATTTATCAATGTAAAATTGAGAAACTGATCCTTCTAATATGACATGTTTCAATTTGGAGGGTAAGAGTGTTAGGGGATATTCAAATTTTAAATAAACATCAATAAGAAGTTTATATATAATGTCAAAAAATGGCCCAAATGGATGTAAAAATTTAAAAAGAGCTTCAAAATCGCTCGGATTTTGCCTTCTGAAAGTTTTCAACAAATTCCAACCACTTCCATAGGGAGGATTTATTCCAAATATATGTTCAACTAAATAAGGGAAAAATATTTGAAGATCTTTTATATTACATTCTAGTAAAATATTTGTAAGTTCTACTACTCTTCTTTGCATGGGACGTATAAATAGCGCATTTCTCAAACGGACTTGTACCTGAAATCAAAAAATAAATTTAATTAAATTAATATTACTTTTAAGTGATCAAGTAACAAGTAAAACGCTTTAGGATTGACAACAACTAAGGTTAAATTTCAAAACTAATATTGGAAAATACGTTCGATGAAAGAAAATTAACTTATAAAAATAAGGCATGGAAAAATTATTTGAATTTTATAAACTATTTTTCAATTTATAAATTTCATTTTTAAAATTTTTATAATGAAATATAAGTAAAAATAATTTTACCGTATTTGAATCTGCCCCATGAACCGCCATGCTTATTACAATATCAATTTGGCACAATTTTAAGCATTATTTACGGCCCTAATTATTTATTTAGGGCCTTTTTATATTATTTTAAAATGGGATGTTTATTTATATGACAATAATAATATTTATTTAAAATGCTTTTTACTTATTATTTTTATTTTTAATTATGGTATTTAAATGAGCCGAGTGATATTTTTAGTTAAAATTAATTACCGTGTTCAAAGTAGATAACTCGATTTATATAAAAATGAGTTATTTCGATGAGCCTATGGACACATTAGAAACTTATTACGAAGAAGGTGAAATAAGTGGTGACGATGATGAAAACGATTTTGAATATACTACTCCAACGAAAAATTTAAAATCGAATAATTTTACTAGAAAAGTTAGTTATGAGCTAGTTAAAGACGATTTAATTTCCGAATTAAATGATGTCAATGATGAAAATGATACGTATGAAATCCCAAATGAATCCGATCTCCCAATCTCCATTGGCGACACATCTAAAACTTTTAAAGAAAGATTGTTAATTTTATTTAGAGACTTAGGAATAAATAAAGAAAATGAGCGACATTACAGATTTAACACTCTTCGCGTTAAAGGAGTTGAAAATATGAGCACGGAAGATGTTTATCAATATTTTGCTTCATTTGCTCCATCTCATGTAGAGTGGATTGACAATGACACTTGTAATGTTGTTTGGTTAGATGATTTATCTGCTGCTCGAGTACTTTTGAGTCAATCGAAAAAAATTATAAATTTGCATGGAAATTCTTTAAAAACTGTATCAAATGACAGGTACACTGATTTAAATGATAGTATCGATGAATGTGTAGATGCTAGAGATTTAAATATAGAAATACCTTCTGGTGTGTGGAGGTTTGGAGAGCCTGGGAAAAAAAGTTCAACCATTTTATTAAGGTATGCTACTAGATCTGATAAAAAGCAATCGATGGCAGCAAAAAGTGGTGTGTATTCGAAAAAATTTGGTACTGTGCCTGGTTTAATGTCAAAATCTGTTAGGAATGGAACAGTTAAATTAATCAACAAAGTTCACACTCCAAATAACATATGGAAAACTGATAGCATTGAAACATCCATGCATTCAAGTGATAAACCAAATCCTTGGGAAGAGCTGGCTTATGAATGGGGTAAAATTGAAAGAGTCAAAGACAATGACTTTTTAGAATTGAATAATAAAAGACCCCTGATAAAAGCCAATGTTCCAGATTTGAGAATATCATTGAAACAAAAAAAAGAAAATAGGAAAAGACTGTTGAATTTAAAAACTAGTCACAGTTTAAATGAAGAATGGGAGAGTAAAGCCAAAGTTCCAAGAATGAAAATGTATGCAGATGATGAGGAAAAAGTTGTTAAAAATAAACAAAAAAAAACCAATGTTCAATCTCATGGAGTTGAAGATTTAAGAAGTAAAATAAACAGGCTCAAAAGTAGAGAAAGAATAAATTTAAAAGTTGAAAGGGATAATATTAGATCTCAGAGTAATACAAGTGAGAGTGAAAATGAATCGGATGATGGCAGCTCTCAAAATTGGGCTTTAGAACAATATCATACGATAAGAGAATCTGTCGAAACTAAAAATAGAAAATTAGGATTAGCTAAATATGATAGTGATGAAAGTGATTTGAGTGATGATGATAATTATACATCACAAAAGAAAAATATAAGGCAAAGATCTCCATTACAAATAGAAATCGATAATGATGAATATTATCAAAGGAGATCAAGTGAAAAGTAATTCTTATAAATATTAGATTTAGTTTTTTTTTTTAGATGATATTTTCATTTTTTATCAAAGCCAATTGTAATTTTTTTAATAATTTTTTCATATGTACAATTTAAATTTAGTGAATTGATAAGTTTTTTTTTTTTCTTTGTATTTATTATTAAGATATATATATTATTTCAGATTTATTTTTTGTAGAAAAATTTAAGTTAGTGTTTATATTAATTTTTTTTTTTTTAATTTTTCATATTATTCAGGTTTTATATAAGTTTAATAACCAGTAAGATTAAATACTTTTTTTTTAAAAATGTTTTACAAAAGTTTTAGAAAAGAAATTAATTTTAATTTAACAATCGTGGTAATATTTATGAAGATCACAGTCCTTTAGATTCTATTTTTATTTTTATTTATGTTAACATAAAGTTAACATAAAAAGTTTATACAATGAGACGATACTAATACATTTTTTAATAATTTTAACGAAAAATTATCATTTGTAAACCACATTACTGTAAGTTTTTGCATACGAAACAGAATTTATTATTACAATTAGCTTTTACTATATCTTACTGTAAAATAATTTTTTTTTTCTTTTAACTGTTAAAGGAAAAAGTAATAGTGGTTGTTGGATTTAAGATAAAATGTTTTACAGCTATAGAATTTTTTTTTTTTTTAATAATTTTATTAATTATTAAATTTTTCATTGAGAATAAAAATATATAAAAAATAATATTTATTAAATAACAAAAAATAATTTTTTTAAAATAAAATTTATCAAAATTAAAATTAAAATATAAAATATAATAAACATAATTAAAGTAGTAGTGATGATTAAATATAAGAAAAATGTTTCATTTATATTAATCGATAATTGTATTAATAACAATTTTTAAATAAAAAAAAAAAAAAAGTTGTAAATAATTTTAAAAAATTAAGTTGCATGGCCATTTTTTTTCCCCATAATTTATATAATTTTTATTGTTTATATATTGTAATTTGTGAAATTTAAGAAAAAGTAAACAAAGGCACCAAATAAAATGACAATAATCTCAATTTAACTTCTATCGACCCTCATATATTTGTTCAAATCTGCATCTCCTTTCGGATCAACTTGTGATAATTGTCTAAAACTTTCATCATCCACAAAGCAAATTTCATGATTGTCCTGTAATGCAAATAAATGATTATTATTATTATTATCACCATACAATATGTTTTGAAAATTAATCGACTTGAAAATAACTTACAGGATCTGCTAAAATAACAACAGTTACAGTTGCTTTTCCGGGAGTATCCAAAGAAATCAGTGGTTTTAATATAGTTTGCTTTTCAGATTCCATTCTGCTTTGTATTGCAGGTAGTGAAGCTTTTGGCACAGAAAAAGCTATTCTACCATATGCTAATGCATGATTAACAGGTCCTCCGATATCTTTAAATTCGAGAACGCATTGATTTTCACCAAATGAAAATGATACTGTTTTATCAGTTTTGTTAATTATTTTCATTCCCAAAATGCCATTCCAATATTTTACTGTTTTTTCCAAATTAGAAGAAGCTAGGGTTACTTTTTCTACAGGATCTTTGTTTTGTGGTTGAGGTTCATTAATAATATTATATTTATAACCACCGGGAGCTTCTAATACAAAATTACCATGGGCTTCTTCCATTGCCCAATTCATTTCTTTGGCTCTTTTTATTATTTCACTTGATCTAATTGTTATACCCAAAAAATCATTTCCTTTTTCATAAGATTTAACTCCATAATTATAAGTCAATTCAATAACAAAATGACTATCTTCAGGACCGTATCCTATCATTGTCTTACTCCATCTGTTATCGTACAATCCGTTGCAAGCAGCTTCACAACCTTCTTTAAATTCTTCATGACGTAAAACCTAAAAAAGGAACAATATTTCTTTTCAGGGGGGAAAAAAAAAAATGAATATTGATACTTATACTGATAGTTAATAATAATTTCGATAAGATCAAAAGGAAAAATAATTGTTTTTTATCGATTAACGTTTGATAATAAAAATTTTAGTTTTGCGTAATTAGTGTAATTACTCACTTCCCAGTACTTTGCAAAAAAAAATTACACATATTGAAATTTACCTTCATTCCTAATAAATCTCTATAAAATCGTGCTGTAGCAGCACGATCAGCAACTTTAAATACAAAATGAAGAGCTCTTCCATTTAAACTCAATGCCATTTTGTTAAATAAAAGTTATATATTTTTTTTTTTTAAATGAAAAAAAAATAATAAACTTCTTTCAAAAACTAAACAGTTTTAAATCAAGTCAGGTGACCTTGCTAAAAAAAAAAATGGCGGCAGACACTCGTGCTTTATAAACAAGTTTTTTGTTTTAACGAAATTATATAATTTTTTTTAATATTTAAATCAATTCCCGTTTTTGTCGGTTTCAGTCATTAAATTATCCTTAAACATTAATCACTTTCATAATATTTATACAGTTTGGTTTTTCTTTCATTTTCTATTTTAAAAAAAATGTTATCAACAATAGTAAGAATAAGTACAAATAAATTTATTCGATCTTTTTCTTTTAAATTTGGACAATTAGAAAATAATTCCCGTGTCATAAAACAAAAAACGCTTTTAAATAAACAATTATTATTCAGTCACAATAAATCAAGTTCAAAATATTTTTGTAATTGGAAAGAAAAAGATCTGAATTACGATGAAAATTTGGGAAAAATAATACTTTTAGATCCAAATGAAGTTGAAGAAATACATGTTGAAGATAAAAATAAAATTAAAAAAACGAAAAGTAAAAAACCGGAAAAGAAAAAAATTAAAAATCCAGCAGTTTTAGATTGGAAAATAAAAAAAAGCAATGATGCAAATTTATTACGGTAATAATTAAAAAAAAAATATAGATGAAAATTGTCAAAAATATTTCATGAGATTTTGTTTTATTTTAAATGAATTAAATTTAATGTAATTTTTTTTTCTTTTTTCTTTTTAGTACTCTGGCAGTGAAATTAAAGAATAAAAAAAATAGAGAAAAACATAAAAAAATATTTATCGAAGGTAAAAGACTTATACAGGATGCTTTGTCCATTGATCTTCAACCTAAAATTATTTTTTACAGTAGATTATCTGATATTGAAAATTTAAAATTATCTGAAAATGTGAGAAAGTGTCAAGTCGATTATAAACAATTAAGAATTTGGAGTGATGTCGCAACTAGCCAAGGAGTTATTGGTAAATTTTATATGTACTTCTCAAAGTAAATTCACATTACACAACTTATTTTTATATTTAATTATTTTTTTAGCTGTGTTTGATTTGCCTGATCAAAAAAAAATTATAAATAAATTTAAAACAGTGCCTCTTACTATTATTTGTGACAATATTAGAGAACCAGGAAATTTAGGTTCTATTTTAAGAGTAGCAGGTGCAGTCGGATGCAAAAAAGTTATCATGACAACAGGTATTAATTTAAGCCTTGAATTTCATTTAAAAAAATTTTTTTTTATAATTACCTAATGAAAAATATTCTTTATCGAAAAAGGATGTGTCGATTTGTGGAATGCAAAAGTCATCAGATCTGCAGCTGGAATTCATTTTAGACTACCAATATCATCAAATGTTGAATGGGATGATATTGATAAACAAATACCTGATGACTCTCAAATTATTTTAGCAGATAACAGGACACTCTGTGATGATAACAGTACTGACAGTTCAATTGTTGAAAATCAAGATGGCGATGAGTATGTTAGTGACGAAGATAGTGATGAAAATGATGACAGTTCTTCCGACGATGAAAATGAGAGTAGTGTGAAAAAAAATAGTTTATGTAGGTCAGATAATATTGATGACTATAATTTACCATTACTTAATTACAATGATGTTAATTATTCTAATAACAGTATAGTAATTATAATCGGTGGTGAAAGTTATGGGATAAGTGAAGATGCTTACAAGTTTGGGGAAAGGAGGAAGGGTTTAAGAGTTACCATACCATTGTTGAACAATGTTGATTCCTTAAATTCTTCAGTTGCTCTGGGTATTTTATCATTTGAAGCTAAAAAAAATTTATCAATTGAATCACCAAAAGAAAAAAATAATAATTTAATTAAATCTGATATGATAGAAACGAGTGAAAAAATTTAATTTAAAAAAAATGTAGTTTAAAAGTGGAGTGTGTAAAAAACAATAAGTAATGAATGAAAAAAAATTTTTTTTTTTTTCTAAAACGATGATTTTATTGATTAAAATAATTTTAACAAAAAGTTTTTTTTTTTTTTTTTTTTTAAACAATTATTATCAATTAATACTGAGTTAAAAAAATGTTAACAGAGTTAAAAAAAATTAATTATTTAGCAACTAATGTATTTTCAAACATGCTTTTTCTTATTTCTAAGCCTATAGCTCGAGCCATTGGAGGAGGTACTGCATTACCCACTTGTCTATGTTTTTCTATAATCGGTCCATAAAATTGAAACGAATCTGGAAATCCTTGAGATCTTGCACATTCTCTCACGCTGACGACTCTAGTTTGTTCCGGGTGAAGAACTCTTCCCTGTTAACATAATATTTACGTTTAAAATTTTTTTTTTTTGTAATGAAAACTAAACTCAAAATATTTTTTTTTTTTACCTGTTTTCCCATAGGTTCTGGATTGGTTACCGTCGTGCTAAAATAACCGTCCCATTCTAATCTTCCGTACAAGCCGGACCAATGATTGTGACGATTTGCCGTGTGTGGTAAACACCAAGGGATTAAAGTATTATATTGACGATCTAATGGGTCACATCTTCTTCCCGAAGCGCAGGCACAAACTCCTCTCAGGTATCCTTGAGGTGATTTTCCATTTTTACGATCGTGATGCATGTATTTTCTAATAAAATATATTTTTTTTTTTTTTTTTTACGTAAATCGCGGATTTTGAAACGTTTAAAATATTTTGACATACAATTGTTTAATCGTCGTTCCGTCCGAAAGGGTCATTGAAATATTTGGCAAATCTCTCCAATCTGATCCTTTCGTCGTAGGTATATGACGAATTCTTGCTTCTACCAATGGACTCATGTATTTACATGTATGATCTCTCAAAATAGGTTGACTTTGATTTCCCCTTATCTACCAAAAAAGAAAATTTTTTTAAGGGAATTCAATTAATTTAAAAAAAATAAAAATATTAAATAAACCAACCAGTCTTTGAAAATGTGTTTTACAATCTTCATTATAATTCATAACGACACGATCGGCACCGTTTGGAATTTCCGGTAAATCCGATAAAGCATCGCGAACGGTTATAGTTCTTAAAGGTGCAGAAGTGCTCCATTTACAATTAGTCGTAAACTGAAAATAAATTATTATTATTATTATTATTATTTTGCTGATATTGTGTGCTGATTTTTTCTATTTTCAGGAGTTTTCACGTACTCTTTTGTCGTCGACGGTGACTTGAAGATTACTCGCTCTTAAACTAAATACGTGAGTCGGTTCCGGAAATAAAGGAAGTTTTAAATTGGGAGCTGCTGCCAAAATAAACAACCTTTAAAAGGTAAAAAAAAAAAATTAAATTTTAATTTAAAAACTAATTAGTCGTCGTTGTCGTGCATTGTTCAAAAAAAAAAAATTTTTTTCGTAATACCTTCTCCTCGTTTGTGGTATACCATAATTACCGGCTTGAAGTACTCCGAAAGTACATTGATAACCCATTGATATTAAACAATAGAGTGTTTGTTTGAGTACCATTGATCTTTTAAATGCAACAAAATTTCTCACGTTTTCCAATATGAAATATTTCGGACGAAAATAATCACAATAGGATAGAAAAGACACGACCAAAGAATTCTGTAATATTTTTAAGGTACGATTTTAACAATAATAATAATAGGTATAATTAATTTATTAAAATCAAAAAAAAAAAAAGAATTAACCTTAAATTGAGAATATTGACGAGAATTAAATCGATTCATTCCGCTAAATCCCTGACACGGTGGTCCCCCGCATATTAAATCCACTTCACCCTTTTGCGGTAAACATTGACCCTTATCATTTTTTAATTTTCCCTGCGAATATATATATAAATTTTTTCCGAATATTAATTTCTTCTTACGATATGAAAAAAATTTTCTTTTTTTTTGTTTTTGACGACTCACAGACATGACTTCTTTCAATAGAGTATTACAATCTTCTGTGAAAACCGTAGCGTTCGGATTATTTTGTTTAAAAGCGGAAGCAGCATCCGAATCTTGTTCAATTGCCCAAAGAGTTTTGGAAACTCCACTTTGATGTAATCCCTCGGATAAACCTCCACATCCGGCAAAAACGTCTAGAGTTCTTAATTTATCACTTATTTCCGGCCAAATAATATCCTCCATGTTTTCTTCATCTAATTTCGATGAAATTTGTTCAGTTTTTTTTAATTTACCCTTTCCTTTTCCCTAGAAAAAAAAAAAAAATATTTTTATCGTGAAAATTTACATTTTTTTTTTTTTTTTTTTAAATTTTTATTTTACCTTATTAGATTTTCCAGTTATGGAAAAATATGATTTTGGTTCGGTAAAATTTTCCGATTCCGAATCGTATGATTCTTGAAAATAAAATCTATTGGGACCATTTTTTAACCAATTATCTTTATTATCATCTTCCAAATATCGTACGTAACATTTTCCTTCGACGTCGGTAAACGAAATTTTTTCCTCTGAAGGAGGGAAAATTTAATTAATAACGTTAATTTCACACACAAAAAGGAAAATTTTAAATTAATTTTTACCTTCGGTCGACCAATATAAAAGATTTAAATCGTAAAAAAGATCTTTTCTCGTTTTATTTAGATGAGTATTTTCCGGACGATAAAATTTATTTACTTTAAGCTTAATTACATCTTCGCCTTTAAACGTTTCCGTATATATTTCCCTTATGTAACCTATATTAAAAGGTCCTGGAGTTTTTTCATTGCATCCTTTTATATTTTCCGTCGTTTTACGATAAAATTCTGGATACATTCCATCATCAACCTGTAAATAATTTTTTTTTTTTTTTTTATTTGAACGCTAATTTAAGGAAAATGTAATGAAAAGACAGTCGTTTTATAATAATCACATCTGTTTTAGATTTTAATTTTTCCTTTTCCACCGGTTGAATTTTAAATTTAAATGTTTCGGGATGTAGAAAAACGCAAGAACCGATAGAATAGACTTCACCACGCCAATCCACAAAACGATACCTCAAAAAAAAAATTCATATATAAATATTCCAAAATGGAAAATAATTATAATTAATTAAACAATTTTTTTTTCTTTTACTTTTTCTGATTTGAATTTTTATCTTCTATCAAACTTCGAGTCGTCGGAATATTTTTATTTTTTTCCCTTTCCGACCATTTACAAATTCCGCAAAATAATTTCGTGTCAGGTTTTTGATTTTCAATATTGTTGTCTCCTTTTTCAAATTCTATCAAATTTTCAAATCTTGCATAATTGGAAAAGTAACTAAAAAAAAAAAATAATAATAATAATTTAATAATAATTTTTCTCTTAAACCCGGGAGGGGAGGGGGGGGTTTAATACCTTTTTTTTACAAAAAATGTTTTTCCATCATCATTTAAATCTTCCTTTTCTTCATTTACTCCTCCCAATTCGAACCAATTACTCGGTGGTTTTTGAATTTTGACATTTATTTTCATTGCTATTTTATGAATTGGCCAATCTACGCATTCGTATATCATAAATAATTCTTGAGGATGACTCATTTCTCCCAAAACAGTTTCAGAACCTCTGCTGCAAAAAGAAAATTGAATAATTAGGTTTTATTTGGCTTTTTTAATTGATGATAATAATAATAATTTACCATAATTTTTGACAGTGAACTTTATCGCAAAAATTTCTTTTAAAGAAAAATTCAACTCTTGCTATGTGCATAGGCGAGGACGCCATTTCTTCAAAAGCAAAAATAAAATCACCGGCGGAAATAGTTTCGCCATTTACGACAGCTGTTTGAGAAATTCCATCCCAAGTGTATGGATTTCTTCTTGTGGATATCAATGATATATCAATAGATTGGATTTTTTTTTCTAATTTTTCAGATTTAGCCTGATAAACTTCTTCATCTTCAGGATCTGATTCTTCGGCTTCTTCGAGAGCGATGTAGGGACACCTTGAAATTCCACAAAAAATTTAATAACTTCTTTCAACGAAGAAATTTTTATTAATTTTTTACCTTCTATTTTTACAAGCTTGTTTTCCTCTTCCTGATCCTCCGAATTTAATCATGTCACGACAGAAAACGCATTCACCACAATCTGGTTGTTGGCATGCTTCACATACATTGCATCGTCTTCGACGTTCCGTCTGAAATTTTACACTTTTTTAGATGCACACAAAAAAATTTGAACTACTTAAAATACAAACTTACCCTCATTTTACTTTCTTCTTCGTCGTTATCTAATTGTTTAGGAAAAAACGATTCGAAAACTTCTGCAACTAAACATGTTGTAGTAGCCTTGGTCCATTTGGGTCTTTCTCTTTTTTTTGCTGCCATCATTCTCTTTGTAGCCCTAATTAAAATAAATTTTTTTAAAAAGCCTATTATTCATACTAGAACTCATTACAAATGAAAAAATTTTTACTTTTTTCCAAGTGTAGCCCCTGAAAGTCTGATGATAGTTCTCATAGCCGGAGTAGTTATAAGTAATTGATCATCATCATCTGCAGAACTATCTTTTTTAGCTGCTGTATCCATATTTGTGACTTGATCAATTAAAAATTGAGCATTTCTCATTAATGTATCTTCATCGAATTGAGCCATAGTCTTGGGAACATTAACAGCCTTAAAATATGATATCAAATAATTTTATATTACATACCATAATATAATAATGGATAATACTAAACTTTAATATTAGGTTTGTGTGTGGAACAGTTTTTTGTGTATAATAAAATTTATACCTGTAATCTATTTAGCAATTCTTCATATGTAGGATTAGGTGAATCATACAAAAACTCGATAACTGTTTTACTGAGTAATGATTTCTGTCTAGCAAGTTTCATGTAAGGTTCATATTCAGGACTTGGCTCCATTAGGTAATAATCGCAGTAAGGTGTTGAAATTCCCAATAATCCATTTTCTCCTCCATCAAATCCTGTTATCCACCATTCACTAAGGGGTCCCAATTTGTGAGCGGGAACTCCATCTATGAAAATTTAAAAAATTACTATTAATTACAAATTAATGAGTAACTTTTATGTTTTAATAGATGTGCAATTAGTTAAATCACCTTCAGGAGATGAATTTTCATCGTAAATAGGTTTAATGTAACCAGATACATATAATAATGCATTTTTTTCTATTAAACCAGAATCGAAAAAACATAAATGTCCATATTCGTCAAACACACTAAAATACAAAATATTTTACATCATTAATAGCATTTAATAAAAATAATTAAATATAATATGAAATCATATAGTGAAAGTTAAAAAAGTAACCTAAAATGAGTTAATTTATTCGAGGGTCTAGTATCTTCAAATGAAACATCCTCTTCAGTTCCATTAAACAATGATAATTTAGGATCGAATAAAGCAACTTCTTCTTCGAGGGCATCATTAGGAAGAGCTTGAAACATTCGTAATTCAGGATCATCCAAATCTTGCCTACAAACTTTACACCTTGAACTGAAGTCAAAATTAATTGATATTTTTTTAGATTTATCTTTAATTTTTTTATTTTCTTTTTCTTTATCTGTATTATCATTGTTAATTTCATTTTCTGAAACATTTGGTTCATCATTGTCGATTTTTATTTTTTTTGCAGGAGGATCATCTAATAAAAAAAGATTAAGGATATTTAAAATAATAAATGTGTGTGCATTCATAAATCCAATAAATGATACATAGATTAATACTTCATTAATTATAAAATTTAGACTTACAATCGGAAACAGTTTCATTTAATTTTTGTGCATTTTTTTGACGTATGGAAGCAAACATTTTACCAATTTGAGAATCATTCACACTCATTTTTATCAAATTAAAATGTTCTCCTAATAGATAAAACGATAATTTTCGCGCCTTTTTTTTCCCTTAATTATTTAAACTTACAGTGCTGCCAACTATAAATTTACTGTCTGAAAAAACATCAGTTCGAAAAATTTTCAACTCGAAGCAACAACAAAGTTTAATAATAATTTAAATTAAAATTATTTTTGTGAATTCGTGAAAATTTTGTTTAACGAGAAAAAAGAAAAGATTATAATTATAGTTAATAAGTGTAATAATTAAATAATACAATTCGTTTATATCTTAGATACAAAATTAAAAATAAAATTCGAACGGGACGGTTAAAAAAAAATTCCGATAGATCGCACCACCGTTTAAAAAAAAAAAAATTTTCAACAAGTCGAAAACGAACACGCAACTGTTTTAGATATTTTCATAGTAAAATTTATTTAATTTAAAAATAAAAAGATGGCCGAAGAATAAGGATTTTGTGTTAAGAATGTTGCGGGTCGTGAAATTAAAGAGGCGCGCGCAACGCGGTCAATACTCACCCAACTGGTGTGATCACACTAACTCGAGAGATGATCAAAACCTCTCACTAGTATAAAATTTAAAAAAAAATTAAAAGATAAAACAAATTTTTTCTTTTTTTTTTTTTTCTCGATAAATTTTTATTAATAATAATAATAATAATTCGTTTGTACCGACAATAACGAATAAATTTTTATTTTATTTATTTATTTAATAATCGCATTAATTGTTATAAAAACCGTTTTATATTATGTGACTTTAACTTATTGGGGTTGTTTTAAAGCCCCTAATAAATAATAATAAGTGGATAAAAATTCCACCGTTCGGTTTTGTTTAAATAAACAAATTCTATTATTATTAACGCTAATAATAATAATAATAATTACGTTCATTATGGGTTACGATTGTGTGATTTATTAAAACGATATTTATTTTTAAATAGTGCCGGTAATTTTATTTGTGAAAGTGGTTAAGTAGTGGTGATAGTAGTAGTAGTAGCAGTAGTAGTAGCAGTGGTAATTTTTTTTTTTTTTTATATTTTAAGTCATGTTTTTTTAAAAAAATTTGAATTTAAAATATTTATTATAAGCACACAAACAGACACACACACAGAGAGAGAGAGAGATAGCAGAAGACGACTGGAAATAAATAAATAAAAAACAAAAAAAAAAAAAAACAAAATTATTAATGGATTTATGGATTTTGTTAGTTTTGGCCATTGCTGGTAAGTCGTCATTTTTTTTTTTAAACTTTTATTATAATAAATGAAAAAAATATTTTCGATTCGTGAAAATGTTTTTTTTTTTTTAAACAATTTCTCAACGTGTACACTTAAAATTTGTCTTTCTTTTATCCATTTTTTGTTATTCGTAAATAATTTTTTAATAGACCGTGAAAGGTATTATGTTAACGGAAGTGTCAAATGTAAAATATGGATATTAAATTCCATGCATTGCATAATTACATCTTAACATTTTAATTTTCCAAAGGGGGGAGGGAGGGGAGTAGGGAAGAGATAGAGAGAGAGAGTAAATGAGTGTGATGATTATAGTGGAGAGAAAAAAAATAAATTTAATTCTTGTTAAGAGAGAGAGAGAGAGAAAGGTTCAAAAGGAAAAAAACTCATGGAAGAAATAATGGTTTTAAAATAAACATTTTTCTTCTTATTTTAATAGTTAAGTTTCTTTTTGTATGTTAAAAAAAATTATTTTACTTCCCACGAATTCATTCTCTCTCTCTCTCTCTCTCTCTCTTTCTCTCTCTTTACAAAAAAAAAAAGAACATTGAAGGGTTACCCTTTAAAGAATAAAGAACTGTCTTATATAAAAGTGAATAAAAGTTTAATTCGGTTTTGTCTTTGGGGGTCTCAAAATCCTTTCCTCCTCCTCCTCCTCATCATCATCCTCCTTCTACTCCTACTGCTGCCCGCCCCCCTCCCCAACCCTACATGCATAGTATGTATGATCCCAACCGAAATATTCCCCACACGGTCATAAATTACATTTTCTTAACAGAAAGCAATACAGTAAATTTTTTTTACTTTTGTTCTTCTTCTGCTTTTTTTTTTTTTTTTTTTTTATATATGTATTTTTCAAACGATGTAAATGTGGGAGAGAGGTAGAGAGGAGGAGCGGGAGGGGGGAAAGAGAGCAAAATGAGAGTAAAAATTAGTATTTCAGTCATGTATTCCTTAAAAAAAAAAAAAATAATAAAAATAAATCGTACTTTTTTTTTTTTTTTTTTTTATTGTATGCTAAATAAAACGTAGAGGATTTTTTTTGTATACGAAAAGGTTCAGTTTTTTCAAAACTAAAAAACTAAAAGGCTAAAAGTTTAAAAAGAGAGAACTTTTTTACACGATGACCTAAATGTCAACCGCAAAGCAACAAAAAAAAACTAATAATAATAATAATAATAATAATAATTTTTTTTTTTGTAAATTTTCTTTCGGCGTTGCTCGGAGTTTATTTCGTAATATTCATCATTATTATCATCATCATCATCGATTCGTAATTTTATATTAATTATCATCGCCGATTACCTTTAATTATACTCATTTACAATGTTGCGGTTTTTTTTCTTTTTTAGTCATTAAATTTTTTTTTTTTTTTTTGAATATATGTACCTGAATTAATTTAAATAAAAATTTTACCCCCAAGGTTTTGAAAATAATTTGAAATCGTTAAAAAAAAAAATCACGACGACGACGACGACGACGATGACGATGACGATAAATAATTGGTTAACGATTAAATTTCTAATTGATGTTGTCTTCGTCGGTACCATTTTTGTTTTTATAATAATAATGATTACCGATCGTTTTTTTCCCCCCCCCCCTCACAATAAGATAAATTTTTTTTTTCAAATCGATCGATCGTTTGTTTATTTCTGTTTGTTTTTTGTTTATGTACAACCAAAGTTTTTTTTTGCAACGTCATGATATACCTTACAAAACTCTCATGTAATAATTTTTCTTACCTTCCTTTTTTTTTTTCTTTTTTTTTATTTATGTGTTTCAAGAAGCCGTGTTCAGTTTAAAAAAAAAAAAAACATGGTCATTGTTTTTCCCCTCATCATCATTATCATCATTATTATTATTGCTATTTCGGAATCGTTTTTTACCTTCAGCGAAAAAAATTTAAATTTTGGAAAATTTTGAGTATCGTATTGATAATGATGGCGACAATAATATTTCCACGTTTTCCGTTTTATTATTATTATTATTATTCGATTGGGCACCTTCAGGAAAAGGTTTACAAAAATAATAATAATAATAATAATAACAATAATGTGTCGTTTTATTTATTTTTTTATTTGAACGTGAAAAAAATTGGCAAAGATGTGAAAATCATCTTCGTCATTCATTTTATTTTTATTTTTATTTTTTTACGGTTCAAATATCATTCGATTGTTGTTGTTATGTGTTAACAATCGCCATCTTTTTTTTTTTCTTACTTATGTGTTTTTATTTGTTTTTCGTTGGTTTTTTTTTTTTTTTTTAAAAACAATTTTTGGTCAGTTACGTAAATGTTTATGTCGGTTTTTGAAATGTTTTGTATCGAATGTTATGAGTTTCGATAAGTAAACGCAAAATTTGGTGGTTTTTTTTTTTTTTTTCGAAATTTATTGTAAATTCTTATAAATCAAATAATCGTCTAGACGTACATTTTTTTTAACTATTGCTTAATTTTACAACCGAAAAAAAAAAAAAAAACAAAACAACATTTGGACCTATTGCCACATCCGATTATTTAACTTTCACCATCTTGAATAAAATATGTTTAAATAACAAAACAAATTGGTAAAGTTTCAAATATTTAAAAAGAAAGGAAAAAAACAATAATAATAATAATAATAATAATTTAATAATGTTTTTACGGGAGCAGGAAGAAAATTATAGAATATATGAGGTAGTTTTCTAATGGTTAATCAATAGGGTCATAACTAAAATTGGTATAGACGATGAGGACGACGACGAATACGACGTGGATTTTTGGATTTTGTTTATGTGTCGTCGTCGTCGTGAAATTCGGTCATAAATTTTTTTAAAATGCATTTATTTTCATTTTAAAAATTAAATTATATATTGGCAAAGGGACGGAAAAGGTATATGTATAAATCTACCTGTATTTACAGGTTCATTAACAATACGAAAAAATCGAATATAAAAAAAAAAAAAATCAATCACCCATGATTTTGTAGTTTTTTTGGGTAAATTACAGCTGCTTCTTATTTGAGAAAAGAACACGAAAATAACCGAAAGTTTTTTTTTTTTTTTTTTTAATGGATAAAAATCTATAAAGTCAATGAATTTTTTTTTTTTTAAAATCATTTTACTTATTCATTTTCGGCTTAAGAGAAAAAAAAAAAAAAGGCAAAAAGTCGTTTTGAATTATAGCAGGGTCCTGATTGTGTATTGGTAGGCGGACTAAACTGTTTAAATTACCTGAGATGGGGTCGAGAAGAGGATTGTTTGAGGGATATTTAACTTTTTTTTTTTTTTTTTTTTTTTTCCTTATGATGTTGAAGTATTATTTGCGCAGACGAAAAAAAAAAAAAATAGTAAATTTAACGGTTTGAAGGAATCTCTCTCTCTTTTTATTTTGTACTATAGTTTCTCGTATATATTGATAGCCTATATACCTGAAGAGTTTTGTCGAAAAGATTCGTATTGATGCGATGTGCGTTTTTTTTTTTTTTTTTTTTTTTTATTATTTCTTACTTGGAGTTATTAAATTCACATGCGTGTCTTTGGTTTCTTTTTTTCTTTCTTTCTTTCTTTTATCTTTATTAGTTCAAGATAATTTTATCTTTTAACTTTTTTTTATTTTTTCCGTTCGTTCGTTCCCGGTCGGTCTATTATATATATATCCCAGGTTTCGGAGCAATAAAATTAATCAAATACAATCATAATTTATTACCTTAAGAGGTCATTAAATTTCTGGTGTCATCATCATCATCATCATCATCATCATCAATGGAATCTTTGC